ATATATTCTATATCATTTAATTCTGATAATATATCTTGTAATGTAAGACCTGCCTGGGCGGGCATGGTGGCTCACTTCTGTATTCCTAGCACTCTGGGAGGCAAGGCAGGACGATTGCTTGAGATCAGGAGTTCGAGACCAGCCCGAGCTAGAGTGAGATCCCATCTCTACCAAAAATAGAAAGAAATTAGCCAGACAACTAAAATGAGAAGAAATTAGCTAGGCATGGTGGCATGTGCCTGTAGTCCCAGCTACTTGGAAGGCTGAGGCTGGAGGATCGCTTGAGCCCAGGAGTTTGAGGTTGCTGTGAGCTAGGCTGATGCCACAGCACTCAACTCTAGCCTGGGCAACAGAGTGAGACTCTATCTCAAAAAAAAAAAAAAAAAAAAGTGAGGCCTGCTTATGATTCTCATTTTATTGCAGGGGAAAGTGAGGCACAAAGGAGTTTGGTAACTTGCCCAAGATTACAAAGTGGTGAAGTTGGAGCTGGTCCAGAGTCCATTCTGATGACCACTAGACATGAGGAATGTTTGCGCAAGTGTATAAGGGAGAGTGGTCATTGCAATGTTATTTGTAAGATCAAAAACCAAAAAGGAAACAACCAGAATGAATTGGTTAATAGGACCTGGTATATCCTGTGGAATACTAAGCAGCTATAAAATAGCCAAGAGAGAGCTACATGAATAGATATGGAAAGAAGCCCAAGATACATAGTTGGTGAAAAAAGTGCATTTACAGGATAATATGTAAAGTATAGGCCCATTTACATTAAAAAAAAAACCCGCAACAACCAAAAAGCCATATAGATGTCATTGTTTCTACATAGGTAAAGGTCTGGAAAGAAAGGTACACACCAAATTAACTGTGAGCATAGAATGTGCAAGGGGAAGATTTCCACTTTAAATTTTGATACGCTTCTGTGATATTATGAAATCTATATTTGATCTTGTTTCAGTTTCCTTGCATACAACTCCTAAAATCCTTGGCATCCTCAAAATGAAAAGTATCTTTTTGTATGCTAATGAGCTGACTGATGGCTGGCAGCCCTTAGGTAGCTTCAGGAGGGGCCTGGGCCCCAGAAAGACCCAGGTGTGATTAGTGGGTTGGAACTCACAGTCTCACCCCCCAATCTCCAGGTATAGGAGAAAGGCTGAAGTCAAGCCGATCGCCAATGGCCAATGACTGAATGAGCGTGGCTGTGTAAGGGAGGGGCCTCTGTAAAAATCCAGAAGCACAGGGCGTGGAGAGCTGCTGCACGGTGACACGCGGAGGCTCCTGGAGGGTGGCACGCCCAGCGCTCACACGGAAGGTCCTTGCCCCTTTCCCGTCCTTCTCCCTAGGCACCTCTTCTTCTATGTCCTTTGTAATATCCTTTATAATAAACCAGTAAATGTAAGTGTTCCCCTGTGTTCTGTGAGCTGCTCTAGCAAATTAATGGAACACAAGGAGGGGGCTGGTGGGTCAGCAGCACAGGGCTTGCGATTGGCATGGCATCAAAAGTGGGGCTCAGTCTCCTGGGACTGAGTCCTTTTTGTATAATAATGCTCTTCTTTTTTTTTTTTTTTTGAGACAGAGTCTTGCTCTGTTGCCCTGGCTAGAGTGCTGTGGCGTCAGCCTAGCTCACAGCAACCTCAAACTCCTGGGCTCAAGCGATCCTCCTGCCTCAGACTCCTTAGAGTAGCTGGGACTCCAGGCATGCGCTACCATGCCCGGCTAATTTTTTCTATATATTTTTAGTTGGCCAATTAATTTCTTTCTATTTATAGTAGAGACGGGGTCTCGCTCTTGCTCAGGCTGGTCTCGAACTCTTGAGCTCAAACGATCCGCCCGCCTCGGCCTCCCAGAGAGCTAGGATTACAGGCGTGAGCCACCGTGCCCGGCCCTATAATAATGTTCTGTGATCCTAAATGTCTCGAAATGGAGTCATGACAAGTGACTCAGCTTACAGTGAAATTGCTGACTCCTCAGAGTGATAGGCACATGTACGGTGGACGGAGGTGATAAGATGACACCTGCAGTGGCCAGGCACCCCTAGATCTGGTAAGAAAGTAAAGCCAAAAGGTAACTGCGATAATAGCTATGAACACTTCTGCGCAGGGTGGTGGCCGCCGGAAGCCCTGCTGGGAGAAGAGCAGGGATCTCTGCCCAGTCGGAGTTAGCACAACCAGGCTGATTCTAAGCTGTGTGATCTGATGCTATCTCCAGGCAGATAATGTCAGAATTGACTTGAATTAGAGGACACCCAGCTGACGCTCATTGAGAATTGATGGCTTGCTTGCTGGCGGGGAGCAATCCCCATGCATCAGGTCACAGAAGTCTCCCGTGTTGATTGTTGAGTGAGAGAATAGAAAAAAATACTTTGATTTTTTTCCTTATATTCTCAAAACTTCCAAATCAGTTGAAGTTTTTGCAGTAAGTACATAATATTTAGGAAATTAATACAAAAAAATTGGTTTTCCTCTATAAAAGAGTGCCATGGCACTCTAGCCCAGGCAATGGAGTGAGACTCTGTCTCAAAAAAAAAAAAAAAAAAAAGAGACAGATACTGTCTATTAGTAGCTGAAACTATTGAGGGTCTACCTTAGGGGAATGAGATTTAGAGACTTTTACAAATATAACTAATTTATTACCTTGATAAAAATAAATTGAACTAACTGATGGACACATAACCACACAGAGGAAAGCAAAAGTCATTGGAAATCAAGCAGGGGGTAGAGGTGAGGAGGGCAAAAACCCATCTAATGTGTACAATGAACATTATTCGGGTGCTTGTTTATAGTCCATGTAACAAAAACATGTACTCCCTTAATATTTTGAAATAAAAAAAAAGTCATCCTAGAGACTCTCTAGAGGAACCAGTTAAATTGTATTTGGTAAAAATAATAGATGTAGCTCTATTAAGTAATGAGTGAAAATTACTTGGTAATATATTTTTAAAAACATAAGTCATTTTAGAACATTAAGAACTCATGCTAAAGTTAAGATGGCAAATTTCATGTTGTGAGTGCATGAGTGTTTTAAAAAAGAATCCGTTTTGGGTTTTTTTTTCTGGGAAAGAGCCTTACTCTATTGTCCCGGCTATAGTGCAGTGGTGACATCATGGCTCACTGCAACCTCAAACTCTTGGGCTCAAGAAATGCACTTGCCTCAGCCCCCTGAGGTATCCAGAACTACAGGCATGCACCACCACACCTGGCTAATTTTTGTATTTTGTGTAGAGACAGGGGTCTCACACTTGTTCAGGTTGGTCTTGAACTCCTGGGCTCAAGTGATCCTCCTGTCTTAGCTGCCCAGAGTGCTAGGATTACAGGTGTGAACTACTGTGCCCAGCCAAGATAAATATCTTGATCTTAAAATGAATGCTTTTTTTCCTATGTCATAAAATGTTTATCACACCTCTAGCATGTGCTGGTGCTGTTCTTATGTGGGGATAAAGTAGTAAACAAAAGTAAAAAATTGCCACCCTATGGATCTTACATTCTTGTGGTGACAATAACATCATATGGTGAAGTAACATCTGTTGTGCACTTTTAAGACTCTAAACATCTCAAAGCTGGTTTATTCACCACTTTATCCCAGGGCTTAGCACAGTACATGGTGCATATTTAAGTCAACAGACACTTGAGTTGTGTATGTTGCTGACATACAATTGTTTAAATGTTTTAAATGCTTAAATCCACGTAGAATTGACCAGAATGATGGTCTGCCTCTGTTGTTTGCCCACAAGGCTTCTACAGGTATTCAGCTGCAATCCTTTTCCCTTCCCCTTGCTTAGGATCATTGCTCCAAGAAGGCAATTAAGACATTCCACCACTCTTACCATTTCTAATGGGCATGTGGGGTGACAGGTAGCAGAGAAGCAACAATGTCAAGATTCTAGTGGACAGAAGAAAGGTTATGGGCAAATAAACCCCTACTATGCATTTAAATTGATAGATTCACTTAGTTTCCCTGTTTATCACACTCTGTCCTAGAATGTTATCTCAATCTTCACAATAAACCAGGAAATACATTTTATAATCTTCATTTTACTGATGAGGCAACTGAGGGTCTGAGGTAACATTTACTTGTCCTACAAGTATCAGCTAGAATATGCATCTAGAACTGTTCAACGCTGTAATTTCTCCTCTGCTAGTCTGTCTCTCAACTGGAGGTAACGAAATGACCTAGAACCAACACAATCCCCATGGACGGAAGGGCTTTTGATTTACTCATTCTAGTTTTGTTTTTTGTTTTGAAACAGTCTTGCTCTGTCACCCAGGCTAGAGTGCAGTGACATCATCATAGCTCACAGCAACCTCAAACTCCTGGGCTCAAGCATTCTCCTGCCTCAGCCCCCTGAGTAGCTGGGACTTATAGGAACATGCCACCATGCTCAGCTAATTTTCTATTTTTTTGTAGAGTCAGGTCTTGCTCTTTCTCAGGCTGGTTTTGAACTCCTGAGCTCAAGCAAACCTCCTACTCTGCCTCCCATAGTTCTAGGATTACAGGTGTGAGCCACTGGGTCTGGCCCATTCAAGAAGATTCTAATCTTAGAGTTCTTAGTATCTCAGAAGCAGCAATTTGTATTCTCAACCCACTGGAATATACTTTATTCAAGTGGCATGAGGTCACTCGCAGATCTTGTCTAGTTCGTTGTCTAATTATACTCAGTTCAAGAGGCTTTGAGGGTGGGTGAGGGGGAATATATTTTAATCATTAGAACATACTCAGAATTTAGGCTAGCCTGCTTACAAAATTAAGACAAATACAGGTTTTAAAAAAATTCAGATTATTTTATTTTTTTTATTTTTTTTTATTTTTATTATTTTTTTTTTTAGTGGGGAAAATGATGTCAGAGATTATTTTTAAAGTCTCACCAATATCATGTTAACTGTGATTTAAAAAGAATCATGTCCCATTCCAAGAGGACATGAGGCCAAAAAATTTAAAAAATTATATAGGTACAGAATTAATAAATTATGTTTCGGGATTTGTTCAACAGACAAAGTACACCTAGAGAACATAAAAATTCTTTATTCAACCTAATCCACCCAGTATTGAGATAGTCTGCTATATTAAAAACAAGACGTTTCAAAAAATCACAGCAGAGTTAGCAAGGCAGTGACTAATTAAGTCACTAGTTTAATTTTATATTCTTCACAGTCATTTGATAATCATGTAATGATAAACAATATTTTCAGCCACTTTGAATGGAGATAAGTTAACTTCTGCAAAGAACAGAATTCTACTAGTCATCATTGAATTTTATAAAAGAGGCTTAAAACATTAACGTTTCTAGAAATAACACAGTAGAGCAATATGAAAATAAACTGGAAAACAAAATATACCCACCCACCCCAAGTCTACATCATCTCTTTAATTTGTCCCCTAAATTCCTTTCTTTTACCTCTTCATTCACTTTTCCCAGAGTACAAACAGACTAGCGAGTAAGAAACAACTATTGCTCTACAGAGGCCATTTTGGGCCTAAAGTGCCTCTGTTCCTTTCATTTCTCAGTTAATCCTAGAAATAGTCTTCAGTGTTATTATCTGCATTTCAGAGATGAAGAAAATTGTAGCTGAGGGAAAGTTAAGTCACTTGGCCAAGGTCATATGTAGAGTTATTATTAAAAGCTGAACTACAATTGGAACCCAGGTCCATCCAACTTTAAGTCTGCCTGTGCTTTCATTGCTTCACGGGCAGACCACCTTCCTGGAAAGACTGGCACATGGTGTTTCTTGAGCTAAGGCTCTTTAGATTTAAAAGTGTTCAATTCTAGGGCTAGAGGCCACTCTGGTCCCCAGGCACTTGCAGTTCCCTCCCCCACAGCTCTAGAAATCCCTCCCTCTCCCCAGCCCTCATGAGACCTGATGCCAGTAAACCCAGGCAGCTACTCCCCATCTTGGGCATTTAAAGTAGTAAATACGGAACTGTATGCTTGCATAACTTAGTAAAGGCTGTCTAAAAGCTGTTCTATATGACAAAAATGATGCAGGAAATGTCTATTTAATATATCTTTTCACATTAAACATTAAAGAAAAGCCAATATATTTTATAATTATAGCTATATAATCTAAGTTATTTTTATATATAATCATACTTTATATTTCTCCTTCAGAACTATAGCAGTGTTCTTAAAAAGGCTGTCAGTTACATCTTCCCTTTCTCCCCGAATAACACAACTTTGAATGTTCAACAGCTATTCACATAAACGTTATAACTCAAAATTAAGACATTCATAATATATTAATAGAAAGGTACCAGTCTTTAATTAACTGAAGTTAACATACATTGTTGCAATCTAACATAGCTCAATCTGTATTTGCTACAATCCTAAAGTGGCCACTTATCAGTGGAGGGAAACATTTACTGTTGTCATGCATTAGATACTGTGAACAAGAAAATAAATAGGGTTTTTGGGAATATCTTTTTATTTTTAAAGAAAATAACTGCAAGACCATTTGGATTGCTGAACGTTAAAATGGCCACTCTATTAATAATGGCTTAAAATAAATAATTGCTTTTGAAAAATGTATACAAAACTAGTTAAACAGTGATTAAGGTGCTAGCCTCATCAATATGACAAGCAATTAAAATCTAAAAATATTAGTATTGGTTTTCTATAATCTGACTTAAGCTAAAAATGACTTCAATATTTACTCAAGACTTCTTGTTTTCATAATTTTCTCCTCACTGACTGATATAAAAACAAAAACCTCAAGGCCTCACCTTGGTTTATTCACTGCTGGTTTTCTATCTGCTGAAACTAGACTATAAACTCTGTAAGAGCTGGGGCCAAGTCTGTCTTGTTCACCACTGTATCCCATAGCACTCTGCACAGTGCCTGGGCAGATAGGAGGTGATCAACAAATATCTGAATAACTGAATCAGTGAAGAGGAGAGTAAAATAACTTTATTGATTTATTTTTTTGCAAATGTTTCTCTGTTCATACTACTATAAACTGGCAGCTCTAACTTCTAGAAATATGGATTAAAAAACCCTAGAGATGGAAGGACCTGATGAGACTGACACACACACACACACACACACTCTAATCAAGACTGCATTAGCCAAAATTATGTTATGAACTATGAGATGTCAACATTATATAAGTAAAATTTAATAGTGAAAAAGTGATCTGGAAGCCCTGTGAATTTTCACCCTACACATTTTGGAGGACATCACATGGTTTAAGGAAAACACAATAAAATCTCATTTGTTCGGGTAATCACTTGAATGTTTACACACATTTTTGGTTTGTTATTCATTTATAACCAATTAGTTTACATTTCCTTATATTAACATATGCTCCTGTTTAGGAGCATATGTAATCAAATTATGCCAGTGAGAAAAATCCTCACAGTACCTTGAGTTGCTGATGCTAAGAAAACACTGAACATGAACAAAAGAGGCATTTGAATAAAACAGCATGTGCATTTTTTTAATATTTGCACAGTTTGATCTTTACATTTCTGTCTGGAGGAAACATGAACAAAATCCAGGTTTACCATGCTAAGATAATGGTTCAGATGGCTGCCATAAAAGTAGTACATACAAAACAATGAAAACAAATCACATCCTTAGGTTCCGTGATTACTGAGACGATTTCCCCTGCCCTAAGTGCTTTATTATATTTCTTTAAAAATATAGGAGCAGCAGCTTATCACAAGTCTCCACAAGTGCATTAATGATGGAATCAAAACAAGACAACAGATTCATAAGGATGAGAAGACTAAAGAACAGGAAGTCACAGTTTTATGCTTCTTCTTGCTCTGGATAATTTAGAATTTTGCGGTGTGCCTGGCGTAAATATTGCTGTTGTTTGAAGTAAACTTTAAATGCTCCTTTTATGGCAACAAAAGCAATTCCACCCTAAAATAAAAAAGAAAATTAGCTTTTTTATAATGCAGGTTAGAGAAACATAATAATAAAAGGAATTTTACTTAGATCACAAAAGACATAGGCTTTGGTGGTAAACTAATTCAGATGACGGCAAATGAAACAGTTTTCCTTTCCTACTAGGAGGAGAGATAGGGAGAGAGGTAGATACTACAGATAGCAGAGGACAGATAGAAATGGCTTCCCTGTTAGTCTATCTGAGTAATCTTCCTTCCACTTAGCTCTACGTCCATTCTAATACAGAAGGGAGAATGTTAGGGCACTATGTGCAGACTGCCACCACAGGAGAAAAGTGGGAATAATCACAGCAAACAACTTGAGTATTTACTATATACTAATATGTATTTCATTTAATCCTCACAATAACCCTGAGGTAGCTACCATTACCATCTCCATACTAGAGGCACAGAGAAGTCCAGAAATTTGATTTAGTTGGTCGAATTTGAACCAGGTTGTCTGACCCTAGAGCAGAAGCTCTTCACCAAAATCCCACTGACAATACAGACGGATGTGACAATTCATGCATGTTCCAGAAGAGAAATCACCCACAGCTTTGTTCTAGAAGACCAGAACTGTTATGCTGGTCCCTCCCCTTTTTATTTTCACTCAAGCTATTGAATGACAGTGGGGATCAAATATAGGCTTAAGGCACAGAAGCCACAGACTGAATAGCTATACAGTCCTCCACCTTTTTAAAACAAATACAGTTCCTTCTCTTTTGCATGTCACTTGAAAAAAGTAATATTAAAGCCATCTTACCAAGATTGTCCTTTGTAAATTAGAGTTAACACTACTGAACATCAATTTACCAACTATTGTTGCAATAGTAGGAAAGACAAGGGCTCCACACAAAATTCGGGTAGCAGAGACATGATCTGCTAAAGGATTAGCCTCAGCTGGAATTCGAGGAACAGGACAACCAATCCCTAAAGAAAAAACAAAGTGCATTAGTGTTAATAAATAAGAAGAGTGAGAATATCTTCAAACATTTCTTAAAAAGCATGTTATGGTTTTTCTACAAGATCAATCTGGCATGTACTTTACAACCACAATTCAGGGCCTTACCTGGAAATATACTATTCAAAATTTGTAGTTTATTTGAGTATTTGCGCCATAGTCTAAGCACGTAGTCCTCCCAGCGAATCATCTTGCCTAATATCAGCATGACAGGAATAGTAGGAAGTCCAATTAAAAGAAATAAAGGATCAGCTCTTTCCATAACATCCAGACCTTCTTTATGGCCTACCACCTGTGAAACAGATAGCATTTGCTAGAATCATTTCCTTATCTAATGAAATGTTGCATGTTTGACCGCAGTTCATTTTTATTTTTTATTTTTATTTTTATTTTTATTTCTTTTCTTTTTTTAAGGGACCACATTTTCTGCTATCGCAGTTCATTTTTAAAAAATGTTTTCAAAATATAGGTGACAAACAAATATAGAAATTAAAAATAAGTTGTAAAGCTGTCAGTTCTGATTTATTCTTAAGAAATGTCTCTCAGCGAAAAAGTAAAGTTCCCAAGCTTTTTATTTGTCTTTTGAGACAGAGTCTTGCTCTGTTGCCCAGGCTAGAGTGCCGTGGCATCAGCCTAGCTCACAGCAACCTCAAACTCCTGGGCTCAAGCTATCTTCCTGACTCAGCCTCCTAAGTAGCTGGAACTACAGATGTGTGCCACCATGCCCAGTTAATTTTTTCTGTTTTTAGTAGAGATGGGGTCTCGCTCTTGTTCAGGTTAGTCTCAAACTCCTGACGGCAAGCAATCCTCCCACTTTGGCCTCTCAGGTTGCTAGGATTAATCACAGGTGTGACCCACCATGCCTAGCCCCCAAGATATTTCATATCATATTAGAATTAAAAACCGTTAAAAATGTCTGACCCCACTGGTTACATTTCAACAGAGTGGATGGAACCTCTAGTTGTCGCTTCCACTCCTCTTATTTGATGGGGTTAGTCTGGCCTGTGGGACTGGGATATTCTAGGTCCTATTTTTCTTCCAGGAAAACATCTGTTTTCCTGATCTTCCCTCTAGGATTGCGGTCCCCAACCCCTTGTCTGCAGTCCGTTAGTGCCGCAGGGCTCCACCATCACCGCCACTCCCCACCCCATCCATGGGAAAAAATTGTCTTCCATGAAACTTAGGAACGGGTTGGGTGGGAATGGAGACTGTTGCAGGAAGTGAGCAGCAGGCCAGCAGAGAAACTTCATCTGTATTTACAGTCACTCCTCTGGAAAAACTGCCTTCCATGAAACTAGTCCCTGGTGCCAAAAAGGTTGGGGACTGATGATTTAGGAGATTAAGTATAGCCAGCAAAGGGGTAGGACTGGTCCTTCAAGAGATGGCCAGAAAGCTCACTTCTCTTTGGCTCTTTCTTCTTACTCATTGGTACATGAAATTGGGCATGAAGTCTCTGGCTGGCTAAGTGTCCTCTCTATGGACCTGTCTCTCCCAAAGTGTACTTCCAAGGTCTAGATTTGGGGGACTGCAGTAGAAGGTCCAGTTTTGGCATGGTTCTCAACCCAGGAACCCTAGGGTACCCTACTACAGGATAATCAAGCTAATACAATCCTTTCTCATCCCCATCTGGGTCTTGGGGCTATTTCTCAGTTGGTTTAGATCCCAGAAGGCCAGGACAAAATTGGCATTCATGAATCTATACTCCCCGTTGCAAAATCCTTTTCACATCCTCATCAATCTTGGCCTCTTGTATCTCCATTCTTTTGGTGAATATCTTACTTCTAAGGAACTTTCCTAAAAATTCTCTTTCAAAGGTCTCAAATGACTTTCCTTTAGCCAAAAGCCTCAACTGCTGACAAATTAAACACATTTCTCTGAGCAATTAATCTTGGCAGTTATGACAGGGGAAGGAGACTATTTCAGTCAGGGGCTTCTAGCATACCCAGGTATTACACACTGAGGCAATAGCTTAGTAGGAGAATACCTCTTATATAGAACTATAAATTATAGTTTTTCTGATCACACTTGAGGAATAATCCAGGAAGAAAGGATTGGAAAGGACCTTGTCTATATCTTTATGGGGAGGAGAGAAAAAGGAGGTGGAAAGGCGCAGGGGGAAGAAGAGAGAGAAGACTGAAAGCTGCCAGGGATGATATATACTCAGGAAAGCAAGCTCATGAAAAAGCAAATGGAATTTTTACAAAAATGAGATGGCTTTGTGTCACCTATTACAGCAGATGAATTTTTAGGTGGTCTATAAGAAGTGAAATAGGTCAGGATGAAAATGTTCAGAGAAAATTGAAATCGTAGGCAACAGACTTGATCCAGGTAAAAATGTTTTATAAAATTGTATGGAAAGGGCCAAATTTCAGGTAAGGACATGACCCAGATTTGCACTTGGTTAATTTATCTATCCAAGATGTAACATTAAAGGGCAGAAGGCTAGCCTCTTGCTAATGGTCAAAAATGTTGGTATTGAATTTGATATTCTTCTGTGTTTCTGGTAGAACTTAACAACTTCACATCTTACATGTGGAAGGTGATCATTTTGAGTTGCCCTAAAGTGAAACATTTCATAAACCCCAATTCCATAATGGTGGCAAAAGTAGATTGGCTCAGCTTTTCCAGGAAGGTCCATTTTTGTATCTGTGGTGTCATGATAAATGTGCTGGTTTTCATCTATGGTTCCCTTATTTCTTGTTAGAATGCTGGGGCACTTTAGGCCTCAGAATACACAATCTCTTTCTCTGAACTTCTCCTGTCCTCCTTTCACTCACTCAAGGCAGACTCTAATCTGACTGGGGGTCAAAAGATCTTCATTTGAGAGGGTCCTACCCCATACCCTGAAAGGAAGAATGCTGCACAGAGGAGCAAGGAAGAATCTGTCCAGACAGGCTTTGCTGGGTTTAGATCATGTGCTTTTCCTCCCATCACATTTCCTCACAGTTGTCAATCATGCCTATGTAATGAAGCCTCCATAGAAGAGCAGAGTTCAGAGAGCTCCAGATAGCTGAACATGTGGAGGTTCCTAGAGGGTGGTATGCCCAGGAAGGGCATGGAAGTTCTGTGCCCTCTTCCCCCATCCCTTACCCTACGTATCTCTTCAGCTGTATCCTTTGTGATACCCTTTATAATACACCAATATATGTGTTTCCCTGAGTTCTGTGAGCCATTCCAGCCAATTAATTGAACTCAAAGAAGGGATGGGAGATACCCATCAGTCAGTCAGAAGTTCTGGAGGTCCAGACTTGTGATGATCTGATGCTTTCTCCAGGTAGACGGTGTCATAACTGAATTTGAGGATGCCCAGCTGGTGGTATCCACTGCTTGGTGTGTGGGAAAAAGCCCCCACATTTGGTTGTAGAAGTTTTCTGTGTTGATGATTGTTGTATTGGTATGGAGTTTAGAGGAAAACACAGTTTGAGTTTTTCCAAAAGTTAATATTTTTATTTTCAATATAATTATCACTTTAAAGTTATAATTGTGATTTAAATATTCTCAACATGTTAGCAAATAAATTCAAATATTTGGAAAAATCCTTTGTTGGGTTTATGTGTTCTTTTTTGGGGTTTAGAAATATAAAGCAGAGTGAACATTCAGGTATGGATTATATTAATAATAGGAGGAAATTTGTTTCTCACTAGTAGCAGTAAAAATCTTATAAACAGATGTCTAAGGATGAGCAAACAAAAAGGAAACAGGGAAAATTATGAACAAAGGCTCATGGTCTCCCTGTTACAACTTAATGGAGAGAGAGACCCTGTGCTCAGGCAAATTAGAAGGGGATAAGGTCCATCACTCATGCATGCATGTATTCATTCAACTGAATACTGATTTTCTGCCAGGCATAGGCCTAGGTGCTTGGGATAAAATGAGGAGCTAAACAGATGTCTTTTGGAGGTGAGAGAAAATCAAATCAAAGAAGTGTGCAAATATAAATTCTGTGAAGAAATCATATAGTATCTAACACCTGTAATATACCACCTCCTACCACAGTCATGCTCAGAAACAATAAATGAAAGCTAAATAACCAGCAAGCCTGATTATAAAGTTAGTGAACCCTGTGTGTAACCATGCACAGTCTTGGTTTCATGCTCCAAGATTTTAAAAAAAAAAAAAAAAAAAAAAAAGGATTATTAAGACTTCAATTTTGGGGTGAGATTCAGGAACTGTAAAATGCCTTCTCTAAGAATTAGCTATCCAGATATAAATAAAGGCCTATAGAATTGTAGCTTTAGAGAGAAAGAGGTTTTTACTTTTGTTGTTTGTTTTTTGCTGCTGAAAAGCTAAAAGATCTTCACACGTAGGTAGGCCTGCAGTTCAGTGCTGCTAAAAGGCTAAGAGTTTTAATCAAGGCCTGAGCTTTAAAGAACTGCCTATTAGAACACCACTTTTTTTTTTTTTTTTCTGAGACAGAGTCTCGCTTTGTTGCCCAGGCTAGAGTGAGTGCCGTGGCGTCAGCCTAGCTCACAGCAACCTCAAACTCCTGGGCTCAAGCAATCCTCCTGCCTCAGCCTCCCAAGTAGCTGGGACTACAGGCATTCGCCACCATGCCCGGCTAATTTTTTGTATATATATTAGTTGGCCAATTAATTTCTTTCTATTTATAGTAGAGACGGGGTCTCGCTCTTGCTCAGGCTGGTTTCGAACTCCTGACCTCGAGCAATCCGCCCGCCTCGGCCTCCCAGAGAGCTAGGATTACAGGCGTGAGCCACCTCGCCCGGCCTAGAACACCACTTTTAAATAGGAGGATAGAACAATGATGAAATAGGTTTTCTTAGTAAGAATTAAGAATAATTAAGTACTGTAATTAAGAATGGACAACACTCATGGGGGTTGTCTTCACACTAGAGGCAAAAGTGGGAACTAGGCTGGATATTAAGATTCCACTGTTCTAGGATAAAATGTTGCAGCTGCCTCTGGGACCAGGATGCACTTAAGGAACCCCAAGATTAGGGATAGGAGTCCCAAAATTTCTTCCTTGCTATGTAGCACTGGACATGTATACTCTCTAAACCAATGAAATAGAAATAATTAATAGTATCTATGTCACAAAATTGTTGCAAGGATTAAAGGCATCAGTGCTTAAAAGGTGTTTAGTTCAGAGCCTGAAAAGCAAACAATCCTTTTGTTTTTTCAATAAAAGTGCAAGAGAAGGGTCCTATTCAAGTTCCCCACAACAAACAAGTATTGAACCTAAGACTGGTCCATGGAGAAGGAAAGGAAATACATGGGAAAAGAATAGAGATCTGATTCCTTAATCTGATTTACATGAACTACAGAGTGGTCACAGAACAAAAAGAAAAGAAAGACTCAAGTATTAAAAGGGAAATCCTAAACACTGCTGATAGTGTAGTGGGGCACATTCCCTATCATGTATGCTCGGGTAAGTAAAAGTCATCTTCTCAATACTTTTTTTTTTGAGACAGGGTCTCAATCTGTTGCCCGGGTAAGAGTGCCATGGTGGCATCATAGCTCACAGCAACCTCAAACTCCTGGGCTCAAGCAATTCTCTTGCCTCAGCCTCCTGAGTATCTGGGACTATAGGTGTGTGCCATCATGCCTAGCTCGTTTTTCTTTTTTTGTAGAGATAGAGTCTTAGTCTTGCTCAGGCTGGTCTTGAACTTCTGGTCTTAAGTGACTCTCCCTCTTAGGCCTCCCAAAGTGCTAGGGTTACAGGTGTGAGCCATTGCACCTGGCCCCAATACTCTAAAATCACAAACATTACACACCTACTATCACAGCTAGTCTCTCTCATTTCTTGGCTAAAAAAAGAAACCTTTTCAAGTGAGACAGTACATGTAAAGGTGATTTCTAAATGGTAATAATTATATATGTATTATAATTTTTGTTTCCTTGCTTATATTATTTCTTCCACTCTACCAATCCAAACTATTTCCTTCAAGGGTCAGCTTAAGACAGTTTTCTCATAATTTCAAATGATCTTTCACTTTTACTGAATTAAAATACTATGCAGTCTTCTGGACTCCCTTCACATTTATTTATACAACCTTGTAACTATTCTCCAGTTGTTTCAATTATGTACACCTTGTCTTGGACTTTTGAAGCTGGGGATGAGGGTTTTCAATTTATTTGTGTTTTACAAGACCACAGCTCGATGTTAACTTTTCAAACAAATCACACCAATATGTTTCAAAAATGCCAAAATATAGCTGGTAGCCCCTTATAGAGGATACAATCTATATTCCTTAATGGGCTCCTGTTTTTAAAATGCCCCATTAATCATATAAAAAATTTTTTTTTAAAATATGGTGCCAGCCTAAAAACTTTTCCTCCAAAAGAGCTATCCCACTTTTTATGATCAATAAGGTCTTAAAAGAAATCACTCAATCTTGGGGGGGCCTTAAGTTTCCTCATTTGCAAAAATATGTATCTGTATAATATATTTGTATATTGAATAATGTATAATCTACTCTAAGTTTCTATGTCTTTGTCAGCCCTAGTAAATTGTCCTGAAGCTCCCTAATCTGATATTAAACAGTTCACAAAAAAAAAAAAAAAAAATTATGAAAGCCTTTTAGGTGTTGGTTTCTGTGTAGATGCTGTAACAGGGAATATAGAAGTATAAAACAGACTTTACTTTCAAGGAAGTTACCTTCTAACAGGAAAAGTAAGGCCTTTACAGGAAATACAAGAAAAGTTAAATAGGTAATCTATATACAATAAGAAGTATCACTTGGTCACCATAAGATTAGCTGCCATCTGAGGACTAAAAGTGGAAGAAGAAATCACTGCAGGTGCCTGTTGAGTTTTATGGAGAAAAACTAGCTAAGCCTGGAAGAAGGGTTTAGATCTGGATAAGTAAACAGAAGACTGGAAGAGCAGTTATTAGGCAGGGAGGAGGACATAAGCCAAAGGACAAAGAAAAAACTAAACAATATAAGGGTGAGTTGACGGAGACAGTCCAATAGGCCTTAAAGTAGAATGAAGTAGATTGTAGAACACCTTGCACATCAAATCAGGCTAAGGAAATGGAATCTTTTCAAGTCAGTGGTTCTCAACCTTTATTCACTACACTCATAACAAATGAAGTTTTACTATCTGGGACTCATTTAAGCAACTACATCCAGGTTTTTAGGTGTCATCAACATTTTATAAAGTTGTCTCACAATACTTTGTCTCATCATGACTATTAATAAAGCAAACCATAAAGATACTCACTATGGACTCTGGCATTGATAGATTATATGCAATTTCTAGAATATTAGATGTAACTCCCTCCAAGCCCTTTTCTTCCATGCATACTCCAATTTACATTAAAGAAAAGCAAATTATCGGCCAGGTGCAGTGGCTCACGCCTGTAATCCTAGCACTCTGGGAGGCCAAGGCGGGAGGATTGCTCAAGGTCAGGAGTTCAAAACCACCCTGAGCAAGAGCGAGACCCCGTCTCTACTATACATAGAAAGAAATTAATTGGCCAACTAATATATATAGAAAAAAATTAGCTGGGCATGGTGGTGCATGCCTGTAGTCCCAGCTACTCAGGAGGCTGAGGCAGCAGGATTGCTTGAGCCCAGGAGTTGGAAGTTGCTGTGAGCTAGGGAAATTCAATAGCAGCAGATACACACTACAAAAAAAAAAAAAAAAAAAAAAAAAAAAAAAAAGAAAAGAAAAGAAAAGAAAAGCAAATTATCTACAAATCTAAGTGTGTTAACTACTACTGAGTTATTTAGGAAACAGCCAATCTAGATTCTGCTCTTGGTAGTGGAGACATTAAGCTTGGGAGTAAGATGTTGAAGATGTTATTTTAGGAGGATTCATTTGGAAGGACAGATTGAAAGAAGAAAATAAAGTCAGAGAAATCCATCGAGAGCCTCCTCTAGCCATTCAGGTATGATGAAGACATGATAAGAAGTCAGGCAGTAAAGATTATGTAAAGGAAGCCACAGATGCAAGACATACCAAAATGGAAAAATTGCCTGGACTTGGTCAGTGGACTGGAAATAGGGCTATAAGACAGAAAGAGTCCAGTGTAGTTCTAAAAATGTAGAATATAAATTAAGTAGATGGGAAAATAGTAGGAATCAAAGATATAGAGAAGTTATGATAAGCAATAAATTTGGGTTTCAAATGGAAGAAAGGACAAGTTAGATTTCAATAATGTTGAGTATAAAGTCACAGGAGAAGGATCAAGATGCAATTAATTACAGGACCAGATCTGAGAAAAGAGCAGGGTGATAGGTCTGAGCACAAAATGAACAGAGATGATAGCTGGAAATCTTTAAGTAAGAGATATAAAAAGAAAATAGTCAAGGGCTTGGAACTAAATCTTGAAATTTAAGTCTGTCTAATCTTCATCAACAGTTACTGATTGTAACACTGTCCATCTAACAAAAGACTGGTTAGTAAACTGCTGTAATTCTATACATAGAATGCTATGCAGATTTCTGCATACTTATATGAAACAATCTCTAAGATTTTCTATGAAAAAAGAGCAATGCAGCTATAATATGCTTCTTTTGGGGTAAATAAAAAACATCAGGTGGGGGAGAACATATTTATTTTTTCTAGCATATCATAGAGTAAGTCTGGAAGAATATACTATGTACAACTAACAATAGGGGGAACTTGGACAAATGAGGGAAAGGAGTAGAGATAATTTTTAGTAGATAACTTTTTATATAATTTCTTATTTTTAAGCCATGAGAGTGTTGTTTCTTTTTCAAAATAAATTTTAAAACTCCTAACAAAAATTTATTTAATAGATCTTTACACCAAAAGTAATATCAATGAAGTAAAATAGTGAACCTGCATCACTGTCACTGCTCCATAAGTCACAGCTGTCCAATAGATAGAGCCAACCATTATTCCCGCTGCAGCAAATGGGCAGGCTTTTGAGATCAGTCTATCTGCAAGATCCAAGACGTAAACAACTGGACCTATAATACAAAAGAAAACAAGTAAAAGTTCAACACAAGGTGGATTTTTAAAATGATTTGTCCAATATTTTCTATAAATCTAAAATATTTTTATGAAGTTGGATGTTCTGATGTTTTAGAAAAATGACTATTATAAATTTGACGGGAACTCAGATTTGTATTAATAGAATTTCTCAGTCATTTGCATGAATAGGTAAATATAATTATACTTCTTAAATTCTAGGAAGCAGCCTCCTCAATTTTTTATCTTTATTATTGAACCTAAAATTAGAGCCTCAAATACAGCTGCTTCTTAGAAAGAAAATAGTCTTCTCACTTCCATCTCTTAATCACAATGGCTACTGCAGAGTGAAAGGACCATTTCAGCTTGCTCTTTCCAAACAGTTCCTGGCAAGAATTTGATTCTCTAATACTTGGTAAGCATATCACTTCTCTGACTTCACTCATTGTGTACCTTGGTACGCTGTGTAAAGGTAACCAAGGATATTTTTTTACAGTTATACAAAGTCAATTTATCTTACTTTGATTTTCAATATGCTATATTTACCCCACAGGGTCTAGCGGTTAAAAATAATGAAAATATAAATTCTAAATAAAATTTTAAAAATTAACAATTAAAACATATGCTACATTTAGTTGAATATTATTTTCTAATAAATTTCTTTTTATGATTATGATGCCAGTTTTTATGGCATTCCAACAGCTGTGTGTGTCAATTTGTGCTTACTATGAAATCTGGCTACTACTTGCTGGGAAGTTATTTGGAATAACTACATTTGGAGGTATCTACTGACTGCCACTAAGTCCAATATAATATAGCTCCAGAATTTTCCAGAAGTGTGGGGGGGTTTTAATCCTGATTTAAAGCAAGGTTTGAACTTCTAAGTTTAACCAAAGGAATATGAAGACTCTGATTTAGTAATCATCATATTTGTTGAATGCTCTCCACATACAAACTATTACATGAGGTATTTTCTTAGAAATGTATAAGAGTTTTTACCTACCTTTTGAGGGCTTACAATCTAAAAGAGGATACTATACACAAAAAGTTTATTTTCATTGTACAACGAAATTAACACAGCAATCTGATAAAATAATTAAACATAAAAGAACAAAGCATCCATCTATGCAGCCTCTGATCAAGATGCCCTGCTGATCACTGGAGCCGGTAATATCACTAGTAACTGTGTAAAGAGAGACTACCTTGTGAAGTAGAGGGAACATCAGGGGAGATGTCAAAGGACCTGAGATTTAATTATAGCCTATTTACTTATTATTGTTAAGCTTTAACTTATATGACATTTAAGACTCTTGATAAGGTATCTTTTGGAGTCAGAGATAAAGTAAGCCTAATTTAGTACACACTGACTCTACGACTTCTAATAATAGTTAGCATTTCTTTTTTCTTTTTTTTTGAGACAGAGTCTCACTTTGTTGCCCAGGCTAGAGTGAGTGCCGTGGCGTCAGCCTAGCTCACAGCAACCTCAAACTACTGGGCTCAAGCAATCCTTCTGCCTCAGCCTCCCGAGTAGCTGGGACTACAGGCATGCGCCACCATGACCAGCTATTTTTTTCTATATATATTAGTTGGCCAATTAATTTCTTTCTTTTTATAGTAGAGACGGGGTCTCACTCTTGCTCAGGCTGGTTTCGAACTCCTGACCTTGAGCAATCCTCCCACCTCGGCCTCCCAGAGAGCTAGGATTACAGGCGTGAGCCACTGTGCTCGGCCAGCATTTCTTGAGTATCTACACAATAGCAAGTGCCGTGGCCATAGGCACCACATGCATCATTATTTATTCTCATAATATGGGGTTTAATTCTCAAAACACATAAATTTGCTGGATTAAGTTTATAACTCCCTCAGAAGGCACAATAAAAGTCATCTTAGTGAGTCACCAAAGATCCCTCAAATGCTGGTACTACAAGGTAAAGACCACAGGTATATATAATACAAAACCTCAGTAACTTCAACTATCATATTCTCTATTGATAATTCTTTAATCAGAAAATTAAGCCATAAGAGAACATCTATAGATTCTCTACAGCACATGTACCAATTCACAAATATTCCACCTATCTGAAGTTAATCCCTTCACCTGTACACTAGATCCTATCTCCTCACCAACTCAAGGCCACAGCTCTAACAATTCTCTCCCATTCTCCTGCATAATGTTTCCCTACTCTTTTTACTTCCAACCAACAAACATGCTATTAGTTCTTCTACCTTAAAACAAACTCTTTTCTTGATCCTTCTTGGCCCTGCTGCTTTATTTATTGAGTCAGGTCTCACTCTGTCACAGTGGTATGATCATAGCTCATTGTAACCTTGAACTCCTGGGCTGAAGTGATCCTCCTACCTCAGCCACCCAAGTAGCTGAAACTATAGGTGCATGCTACCATGTCTGGCTAATTTTAAAAATTTTCTGTGGAGACAAAGTCTTGCTATGTTGCTCAGGCTGGTCTTGAACTCCTGGGCTACATGATCACTCCTGGGAATTATCCCCCCCACCCCCACCTTGGCTTCCCAAAGTGCTAGGATTACAGGCATGAGCCATTGTGCCTGGCCCCAATACTTCATTTCTTTGTTCCCTTTGCAACAATTCCTCAGAAGAATTGTTTTTCTCTCTTTTAATTCTCTCTTGAACTCACTTCACCAAAACTGCTTACCAAGGTCACTAACAACCTCCATATAACTAAGTCCTATGGTCTAATCTTAAATCTTCTTCTTATTTGGCCTATCAGCAACAACTGACACAGATGATCCCATTTTCTTCCCAATATACAGTTCTCCATTGCATCTCCAGAACACCTCTTGGTTTTATATCTTATGACTCATTTTTTAATCTCCTTTGCTGGTTCTTCCTCCTTTTCTCAACCTCAGTGAGGCCCACCCTGCCAGCCCTTACTTCTATCATATTCCCTATTTGATTATTTTGTGCTATTTTTCTTTTCTCAAAGCATTTATCACCTAACATACTCTAATTTACTTATTAATTCTGTTTCCACTTACTAGAATATGAGTTGGGAAACTATGGCCTATAGTACAAATTTAGCCAGCCACCTATTTTTGTAAATAAAGTTTTATTGAAACATAGACACATGCAAAGTCTAAAATATTTACCACCTGGTTCTGTACAGAAAAGTTTGCAGATTCCTGTATTAAAACACACGCTCCAAAGGGAAAATGATCTTTTTGTTTTGATCACTGATGTATTCCAAGTTCCTATGACTCTCAAGCATTTGCTGAATTGAATTCTCTAGTACTTGGAACTATCTACCAATGGAGTGATGCAATATAATTCCTAAAACAAACAAAAAATATCAAATATTTGGATGAAAACATAATTCCTAAAATTTAACCCATTACTACTATTTTTATTTATCATGAATACTGACAATCTACAGATGTTTGAATTGTTTTTCCTTGGAAGATCTCAGGAGGTTCTAACATAATGAGCTCTCAATTTTCTTCCTGAATCATTGGATGTGAATTCCTTTGTATAAGGAAAAAAACTTCATACTTCCTCTTTTGGAAATTTCCTACTCATCCCTTGTGTTATATCTAAAAGATGTGCCAGATAAAATAAAGACACATGATGCATTTTCTAGCACCTAATACCAGTTTTTCTGACAAAATTCTATACTGGTTTTTGTCTTAAGTTTACTTTGCCTAAATCTCTCAAGGCTCTTCCAAATAGACTAGTCAAAGATTAGCCTGATATTTAAAAGGAAAGATAAATGCCTAGTTTTAAGCATATGATTACAATAATGAACTGCCATCCAGGGGAGGTATTTCTGACAGCTAATGGATTATCTAGGCAAGCTATTTGGTAAGTAAGAACAATCCCTGAAATCCTCTGGATGGCAGTCCCTAAATCATACTTTTTCTATTAGGAAGCTTAAGTGCTACTATCTCATGACTTGGGGTCATAATCTTAGGAAAATAGTCACTAGATTCTTATTGTCAGATTAAAGCACAAAGAGTTACGGGAAGTGGGAAAAGCCTTTGAAAACTTTAATTCTGATGGACAAGTATGAATAAATGTACTTCATAAGTTAAATATATAAAGGCATAAAAATGTTTTGATTTTTAAAAAGGTATTACTGAATTTTTAAGGCCTCAGTGGGCCTAACCACTTATGTTTTCAACAGTAGTGTATTTCCACAATGGATGGCAATTGAAGAAGCTTTGTATAAATATAAGTTTTAAAAACCTATTAAAGGGCACTAGGGAAACTTACAATTAATAGGAAGTCTATTGTGAATTCTTTTGTATAATAAAGAGGCTTTTAAAAAGAGAACAACTATAATATTTTGGGTAAATTCAAGTTTTCACATTTCAGATTTGAGTGACATCAAAAAGTGAGTTGAGAAGTACCGGGGAAACACAATAAGTCTATGTCTACCAAAAAAGTAGTAATCAGTTTTATCTGGCAGACACTCCAAAAGTAGATTTTTGTTGTTGCTGTGATTCAAATTCAAGTCTATGTCAAGTCTATGTGTGCATGGTTGTTAAAGATACACCTTGGAAGAAAAGAAATCAATGACTGAAAAGCAGATAGGTTATACTTAATGTTCAACATCTGCTGGCATTGTTTATACTCTTTCTCTTGCCTGGGCTAGAGTGCCAGGACATCAGCCTAGCTCATAGCAACCTCAAACTCCTAGGCTTGAGCGATCCTCCTGCCTCAACCTCTCCAGTGGCTGGGACTACAGAGATGTGCCACTATGCCTGGCTAATTTTTTCTATATATTTTTGTCCAGCTAATTTCTTTCTATTTTCAGTAGAGACGGGGTCTCACTCTTGATCAGGCTGGTCTTGAACTCCTGACCTAGAGCGATCCTCCCATCTTGGCCTCCCAGAATGCTAGGATTACAGGCGTGAGCCACCATGCCCAGCCCTATGATCAATTCTTGAGAAATGTAATTTTTTTTCTCTTTTCTTTTCTTTCTCTCTTTTTTTTTTTTTTAGAGAGATGGGGTCTCACTGTGCTCAG